CTCTTGTCTGCTAGCAGTGCTGGGACTCTGAGCCGCTCTGCAGCCGGGGGTTCGGGGTGGCTGAAAGGCTGCAATGTGGGCTGTGCCGGGGAAAGGCTGCTCCACAAGCTGTGCAAAGAGAACATAAGAGCGGCCACACCAAAGATCTCGCCCAGTGTCCTGTCGACCGACAGCGACCAATGCCAGGTGCCCCAGAGGAGGGAACGGAACAGGGAATCATGTGATCCTTCCCCCGTCACCCATTCCCAACTTCTAGCAAACAGAAGCTAGGGACACCATTCCTACCCATCCTGGCTAATAGCCATTGATGGATCTAACCTCCTTGAATCTATCTAGCTCTTTTCGAACCCTGTTACAGTCTTAAACTTAATAACCTCTGGCGAGGAGTTCCACAGGTTGCCTGCTCATTGTGTGGAAAAAAATGCTTCCTTTTGTTTGTTTTAAACCCGCTGCCTATTCATTTCATTGGGTGACCCCTAGTTCTTGTGTGAGCGAGCAAATCACTTTTCATTCTCCACTTTCTCCATGCCAGTCACTTTTTATAGACCTCTATCCTATCCCTCCTTAGTCTCCTCTTTTCTAAACTGAAAAGTCCCAGTTTTTTAATCTTTCCTCATAGGGCAGCTGTTCCAAACCCCTCCTCATATTTGTTGCCCTTTTCTGAACTTTTTCCAGTGCCAAGAGATCTTTTTTGAAATGAGGCAACCGCATCTGCATGGAGTATTCAAAGTGTGGGGCGCACCATGGAGTGATATACAGGCAACAAGATAGTCTCTGTCTTATTCTCTCTCTAGCCCTTTCTTAATGATTCCCAACACTCAGTTTGCTTTTTTGTCTGCTGCTGCACACTGAGAGGATGTTTTCAGAGAACTATCCACACTGACACCAAGATCTTTCTCTTGAGTGGTTACAGCGAATTTAGTCCCCCGCATATTATGCATAGAGTTGGGAGGATGTTTTCCAACAATGCATCACTTTGGCTACGTCTACACTGCCATGATTTTCCGGAAATGTTTTTAATGGAAAAGTTTTCCGTTAAAAGCATTTTCGGAAAAATTGCGTCTAGATTGGCAGGATGCTTTTCCGCAAAAGCACTTTTTGTGGAAAAGCATCCGTGGCCAATCTAGACGTGCTTTTCCGCGAAAAAGCCCCGATTGCCATTTTCGCCATCGGGGCTTTTTTGCAGAAAACAAATCTGAGCTGTCTACACTGGCCCTTTTGCGCAAAAGTCTTTCGGAAAAAGACTTTTGCCCGAATGGGAGCAGCATAGTATTTCCGGAAAAGCACTGATGATTTTACATGAGATCGTCAGTGCTTTTCCGGAAATTCAAGCGGCCAGTGTAGACAGCTGGCAAGTTTTTCTGCAAAATCACATGATTTTGCGGAAAAACTTGCCAGTCTAGACACAGCCTTTGTGTTTATCAGCATTGAAATTCATCTGCCCTTTTATTGCCCAAGGCCAGATTCCAAGCCCACAGAAGATTATGAGACTCTACCCAGGGACTCCAATGGAAGATGGATCGGACCCTGCCCCGGAAGAAAACAGTCTGAGAGTTGCTCATGGCTGTTGGGAAAGGCTGGTTTGCCAAGTGGTGCTCTGGACCAGCGAGATGCCCTCCTCGGGCATGTAAGCTAAGCAGGGAAGAGGAAGGAGAGACAGATACATAATCCTCATCTCTACCTGTCCTGTAGCGATGCCCCTCGGCCAGGTCTGTTGGCCAAACTGGGCGGTCTCTGCGACCAAGGATGAACGGACACAAATCAGACACGAGAAATAGGAACACACACAAATCTGGAGGGAGGGGCACATTTAAACCCGCCTGGGCACACAGTCATGGATTGAAAAGGAGCCCTTCTTCTGCGAAGGAATTTCACCCGCCAGTGACAGAGAGAGGGTGTGAAATTGATCGTCATCTGCAAATGCGACACTGTTTCCCTGGGCTTGTACAGAGACATTAACTGGATGTCACATTATAAAGCCATTTAGAATTAAACAAAGCCGGTGAATAGCTAGCCAATTACAAAAGCAGTTTCTCCTCTCTTGGTGGTCACACCTCCAGATCAGCTGTTAGAAGTGGGCCTCATCCTCTCTGATTGAATTTACCTCGTGCTGGTGGGAGGAGCCACAGTGCGGTCTGGGCGTCTGTAAGGGCTGGTGGGAGGAGCCACAGTGCGGTCTGGGCGTCTGTAAGGGCTGGTGGGAGGAGCCACAGTGCGGTCTGGGCGTCTGTAAGGGCTGGTGGGAGGAGCCACAGTGCGGTCTGGGCGTCTGTAAGGGCTGGTGGGAGGAGCCACAGTGCGGTCTGGGCGTCTGTAAGGGCTGGTGGGAGGAGCCACAGTGCGGTCTGGGCGTCTGTAAGGGCTGGTGGGAGGAGCCACAGTGCGGTCTGGGCGTCTGTAAGGGCTGGTGGGAGGAGCCACAGTGCGGTCTGGGCGTCTGTAAGGGCTGGTGGGAGGAGCCACAGTGCGGTCTGGGCGTCTGTAAGGGCTGGTGGGAGGAGCCACAGTGCGGTCTGGGCGTCTGTAAGGGCTGGTGGGAGGAGCCACAGTGCGGTCTGGGCGTCTGTAAGGGCTGGTGGGAGGAGCCACAGTGCGGTCTGGGCGTCTGTAAGGGCTGGTGGGAGGAGCCACAGTGCGGTCTGGGCGTCTGTAAGGGCTGGTGGGAGGAGCCACAGTGCGGTCTGGGCGTCTGTAAGGGCTGGTGGGAGGAGCCACAGTGCGGTCTGGGCGTCTGTAAGGGCTGGTGGGAGGAGCCACAGTGCGGTCTGGGCGTCTGTAAGGGCTGGTGGGAGGAGCCACAGTGCGGTCTGGGCGTCTGTAAGGGCTGGTGGGAGGAGCCACAGTGCGGTCTGGGCGTCTGTAAGGGCTGGTGGGAGGAGCCACAGTGCGGTCTGGGCGTCTGTAAGGGCTGGTGGGAGGAGCCACAGTGCGGTCTGGGCGTCTGTAAGGGCTGGTGGGAGGAGCCACAGTGCGGTCTGGGCGTCTGTAAGGGCTGGTGGGAGGAGCCACAGCGTGGTCTGGGCAACACTGAGGGTAGGTTGCCCCTCCTCCCTCCCCTTTTGCCCAATCCCCCCCTTCCAGGGGACCCGAAGCCGAGTCCCCCCCACATTGCCCAGGGCCCAGTGAAGTCTGCCACCAGCCCTGATCACGTCCCTCACACGTGTCTGCATGTCACTCCGTGGAGCCCTTACTCCGGTTGAATTTTCAGCCCGGGGCATTGTGGGTCGGCTCCTGAAAGCCGGCACCGGTCCACGTGAGCAGCGCCGTGTCTACATCGGCCTCACGCCGCCGATCCCGAGCGGCCGCTGCTCGTGGAGGAGGAGCGATTCAGCCGGGCGAGTTACCGTAGCGGGGACACCGTTCTAGTGTAGACACGTCCATAGCTCGGGCGATGTAGCTGCCTTGCGTTGACCTAATGCCGGAGGGTAACCCAGGCCTGGCAGAGATCGGAGAGTCTAGTGCCTAGAAGGAGCAGTAGCGGCGGACGAGTCAGCGCGTAGGCGAGGAATGGGCAGAGACGACAGCAATGCTACCAAGCCAGAATGCAGCCAGCTCTGGGCTAGACACTTTTAGCAGGAGGGACACCCCACAATAATTCAGGAACGAGCACTGAGCGGTAGCTCATCCGACCGTCCATCGTTTTTAGACCCTCTTCCTCCATCCTCACAATTCTTCAGTAAGTAGCGCTAGCCTTATGTGATGGGGGGAAACTGAGGCAGGGAGCAGTTTCAGGCCTTTGACTGAGAGTGCTCCGGAATGGCTTGCAGCTCCTCGGGGCTAGACTGGCGCTCAGTCGTGGACCGTGAATTGGGTGCCAGGCTGGGAAAACTCCCCCAAGCGCTGTGCTTTAACCACTAGGCCCCGCTTCCTCTGAGGCTGCACACAAGTCCCTTTGTTACCAAATGGGTGGGGCGGGGGAGGGATCCTTCTTGTGTTTGTTTTTCTTTTCTACATTTCCCTGCGCGCAGCGTTCTCGGGAGGCAGCCCTCCCCCAGCTCTTAACGGGCTGCCGTTAATCAGGGACGGGCAGGCTCGGGAAGGGCGGCTTGCTCGCTCGGACCTGGGCTTCAGGAGAGCAGCCCCCAGGGGCAGCCCCGCCTTTGGCTCTTTTCGCCGCTTTTCTCGTTTCCTGGCCCGCGCTGGGTGATTTTCCTCAGCGCGCAGCCAAGAAAAGCAACACGGTGACCGAATAAATGTTATCGCCAGGGCTCAGAGCACAGACGTTTGTGGCAAAGGTTTTTGGGCCTCAGCACCTTCCTTTCAGCGCTTGGGACGCAGCCAAAGAGAGGCAAAGAGGCTTCCCCTATTTTGGGGGTGTGCAGAGCCCCACTTGGCCCCTGGTGTAAGTTAGAGCCACCTCAGACTGGCTCTGATTTGTCCTCCATGTCCCACGCCCCTTGGGAAACACAGGATAGCGGTAGAGCAGCCCACCCTGTCTCCCTCGTCTCTCCTTCCTCTGACACACTCCTAATCTGCCAGACTTTAGGAGCAGGGCTGAGCAGGTGTAGTGTCCCCCATGACAAATCCACACCCCCTGAGCCCCAGTGGAAAGTGAGAATAAAGCCCTTTGTGTGTGTGTTTCTCTCTGTATCCCACCGCACACACCAACGAGGCCCTATCTCCCATCGGCAGAAAGCAGCCGAGCCAGGAAGGAGCGGGAAACCGAGCTGGTCTCTGCCAAGAGGGGAAAGAAAGGCCCAGCTAGAGACATTCAGGTCCCAAAGACCATGCAGGAAGCGTGTGTATGTCGGGGAGGGGGGAGGGAGGGAATTAGTTGTGTCAGGGTCAGTCTCTTCCACAGAGGAGAAAGGGAAACAAAAGTCTGGCTGCGTGCCAAAAGCCAAATGAACTGTCTGGGTCACACGCGGCGGCCCCATCAGAGCTGGCGGAAGGCCGCCTTTCAGGGCCCTCGCTCCAGCCTGCCGCTAGTTTGCTTTGCTGACTCCGTGCTGGGTTGGCTGTGGGCAGGGCCCATGCGTGTCCATCCACCCGCCCTGGCTCAAGTCCTGCCCCAGCATGCACTGGGCTCAGGGCGAAACCCAGTGGGGGGGGGGGGGGTTGTTCTGCAAGGATCCTCCCTGAATATTTACGCCCTTAGGCTACATCTAGACTGGCATGATTTTCCGCAAATGCTTTTTACGGAAAAGCTTTTCTGTTAAAAGCATTCGCGGAAAAGAGCGTCTTGATTGGTAGGATGCTTTTGCGCAAAAGCGCTTTTGCACAAAAGCATCCGTGGCCAATCTAGACGCGCTTTTGTGGAAAAAAGCCCCGATCGCCATTTTCGCCATCGGGGCTTTTTTGCGCAAAACAAATCTGAGCTGTCTACACTGGCCCTTTTGTGCAAAAGCTTTTGCGCAAAAGGACTTTTGCCCGAACGGAAGCAGCACAGTATTTCCGCAAGAAGCACTGATTTCTTACAGGAGATCGTCAGCGTTCTTGTGGAAATTCAAGCAGCCAGTGTAGACAGCTGGCAAGTTTTTCCGCAAAAGCAGCTGCCAGTCTAAACACAGCCTTATTGTTTTATCTGTAGGTCACAGACCCACGTGTGGGGGCAATTATGTATCTTTTACAGAGCTTAACATGCTCCAAAAACCATTAAAGCATGGGTTCCCAAACTGGGGGGCGTGCCCCCGGGGGGGCATGAAGAAATTCCAGGGGGGACATGAGGCAACCCAGTGTTCTCCCCCGTCAATCTCCCCCCCAAGTTTCGCTGCTATTTTTGTTTTTCGGCCCCGGTCAATTCCTTTCTTTCTTTTTTTGCTCAACAAGTTTTGCTGCTCTTGGGTGGGGGGAGGGGGGGGGCATGAGAGTTTCTCAAAAATCAAAAAGGAGGCGTGATGCTGAAAAGTTTGGGAACCCCTGGTCGAGATTAAAATCCCTTTAATTAGGTGACTGGTTAAACATTATGTTTAACTGGTTAACTGATTAAACGAAGGTGAGCGGGGGGGCGGGAGGGCGACACTGGGTAATAATGGAGACCCCAGTTTTCCAGAGGGACCCCTGAGACCGAAAGGCAGAGCCACATCAGGGTCTGGAGTCCAGGGCCGCCTGGCTGCCCCCAGCCCTGTGGCAGACCCCTGTCGTCCCCCCTCCTCCCACTCTCTGGGGGTGGCTTTTGGAGCTGGGGTTGCACGCACAGCGGTGAGCGGGTCCGATCCTGCATGGCGCTAAGTGCCTTCTGCACAGGGCTGGAGGCCACAAGGGCAGCTGGGCCTTGTGAAAGGCTTCAGGGGAAGGAGAAAGTTACTATGAGCGATGAGCCCGGACGAAACCCGCAGACTCAAGGAGCCCTGAACTTTGGGATCATCTGGCTCCTGGATCTGTACTGGGCCAAACCAAAGCCCTTGCTCCAAACATCCCCTTGCCCCAAAACACCCTACTGGGGACGCCAGCCCTCCACGCCAGCCCCAAATCTTGCCCAGGAGATCTCTCTCCCATTACTAATAAAGGCAACTCTCGGGGCTCCGTTCTATGGTAGTAGCCTCAGTCAGTTCTGGCAAGCAGCCGAGACGCGGCTTACGTCATGGGCCCTCTCTGGGACCCTTTCTGGATATTCTTCATAATCCCTGCATGCTGTAAGTGTATGTTCCCTCTAATCTTTTCCACACATGTGTGGATTTTTTCCATCTGTGTGCGGAATAAATTTATACACGCGCCAAGGCATGTGTGAATGTGCACCACCCACAGACACAAACAAACAAAAAACTTAGCTGTGGGCACTCTGCTAGACAGCTGGGAGGCATTCAAATTTCTCCTGAGAGGCAGCACAAGTACCCAGTTTACAGGGACCACTGTGGGTTACTACAATAATGCCCAACTTAGTAGCAGGCATCGTGACCTAAGTCCTAAGTTGTGTACGTACTGAGAAGAGGGACACGCAGCCGCTTATTAATTATTATTCTGTATGGATTATATGCGCCTATCCTAGAAGCACTAATCCGGATCAGGGCCCATTGTGTTGGATACGGTACACACACAAGATGCACCACGGGAATGTAACACACATCCAGGGGGCGAGTATTAGAGTAAGAGAGCGAAGAGCATCCGATTGTGTAGACCTGCAAAGTTATGAACAGCCTCAGTGACAGGCTGGCTAGAGAAGTCAGGAGGGGGTTAAACAAATAAGAAACAAAGAGGGTAAAACCAGCAAAGGTCTTAAGTCTTCAGCACAAAATCAAATGGTGGAGAACAAAATTAACCAAGGAAGGCAAGACCATAAAGAGAAGAAACTCTCGAATTGCCAGTACATTGATGATAGAAGCCCAAATAACGAACTAGAGCCATTCCATCCATGTGTGGATTTTTTTCCAGCCATGTACGGAATAATTTTGTATGCGCACAGAGGCATGTGTGAATGTGCACCACCCATAGAAACCAAAAAACCTCACTGTGGGCTCATTTATAGGAATTGCTCATTTATGAGCCTAAATCTGAGTTACGTGGTGATACAGCAAGTGTGTGGGATGATTCACACGACGAATTGTTAAAATCAATGGATGTAGCCTACTTAGGAAGGGCAAAACGGGATGAGGCATGCCGCTATGTGTCGAAAATGGCATTATCTGGTTTTGAGTCACAGACCATGCAGAAGAAATGATGCGGATGGAGCACTGCCCTGACAGATCGAACACAAGATTGTGCATTAGTCGGTGTCTGCGGCCGGCCACCAGATCACATCCGGGAACCGGATGACTGCCTCTTAGTGCACCTATCTATAATGGGCAGGAAAATAAACACCTGGGTGATCATGATTCAGTGACATCCGCTGGAGGTCTCAGACAGCTCATGCCACGCCTTCTTTGGAATTGCTAAATGCTAGTGAAGACGATTTTCTCCCTCCAAAAAATGCAGCAGGCGGCCCCGGGAGAATTCTATGCCAGCCCTCGTCTGGACAGATGACGGACTTGATCGCAGACTTAAAACCGAATGGTAAAGCGATCGAACCTGGATGTGCAAACAGAGTAAAGTCCAAACCGAGGACATATAAAGCTGAAAACGTTTATGAGCCCAATCAATGGGGCTGATAGGGCTCTCCTTTAATAAAGAATACTAACAGAGAGTAATAAATGTCAGTTTCATAAACCCGATGTGGATTGGCAATAGTCATAGTGCCCTCCCTCAATCTTAGAGATATGGAAAATAGACCCTATCAAACTTACTTGATATCTTTTTTGATAACATAAAGAACAGCCATACGAGGTCAGACCAAAAGTCCCTCTAGCCCCGTGTCCTGTCCACAGACAGCTCCATGCCAGGTGCCCCAGAAGGAGTCAGTGTTGTCTTCAAGTCGTCATTGTCAAGTCCAAGTTGAGTCTCAAGTCACTGCAGTTCAAGTCTCAAGTCGAGTCTTGAGTCCCTAAAGCCACTTTCGAGTCAAGTCCCACGGCGAGTCTCAAGCCTTAATTTTAAAAATGTCAAGTCGCTTTTGTACAAGCCATCCATATCGGCATTTGCGGACAATTTTTTCACCAAGTCGATTTAACAAAAGTAGCAAGGCTCACGTCGAGGCTCAGGTCACAAACAATGAACCCAAGTCGAGTCTCAAGTCGAGTCGCCTCGGCGACTTACGTCGGACTTGAGTTCAAGTCGTGGGATTCGAGTCAACAACTCTGGAAGGAGTGACCAGAACAAGGAATCATCCAGTGATCCCTCCAGAGAAGCACATGGTCCCCGCAGCCGGGTGCTTTGAGTGGTGTGCGGGGACACGGCAGGCAGAGGGGCCTGCTCCAGGCTTGGTCTGGCCAGCCCGTGGGACGCAAGTCGCCCGCCCCTGCCGTTGTGAAAGGCATTGCCCATGCCACACGTGGCCGTTGTTGCTGCTTTGACTGTGGTTCGTGACGAAGTCCTGCTCTGGTGGATACAGCAGGGCTGCCAATTTTGCTGGGATTTATCCTGGGAGGTTTTTATCACATGCCCTAAGCCTTGGTGGAGCCTCCCGGCCAATCCGGGAGGGGTGGCAACCTGGAGAGGAACGTTCTCGCGGCGTCAAAGGGGCAGGAAGCTTGTTCTGACTTGAGAAAGCAACAGAAACTCCCCGGTTTTAAAGTGCCTGATACAGGGGGGCTTTTCCCCAGGGTTACACCAGGGAAAATTCCTCCTCCTCCTCGGCAAAGTTATGATGCCGACGGGCTTGCCGGAGGGTGCACAGAGCCTGGGGCCCTAGCTCGGAGAGGGGTGGATTGCCCCATGCATCTCGAGGGGTGTTAACATCAAGACTCCTCCCAGCCAGCAGACAACTGCGTTCCAGCGTCCACTCCAGGAGATACACCCCGGTGGCTGGGTTAGGAAAGGGCAGGGGGTGGGCTGCCTCCGTGGGTAGCAGGTGATGTAGGCAAGGGAAGGCGTTGCCTTCCTAAAAGTGCCTACGCTCCCTGGCCACCGGGGAAGGCTAGGGCTGGAGTGTGACAGCCCCAGCCCTGCAGGTGGCCAGGAAGGATCAGGCTGGAGCTGGGAGGGGCTTGGCACCACGGGGGCAGGGGAAAGGTTGCTTGAACACCCAGAGGTTCAATCGGTCAGAATCGCATCAGCGAGTGCTCCTGCTGAGGGTGGGCAATCATTTTTTTTTTGGAGGGGGTGGGTCACTTGACAAAATTTGATAGTGGTCGTGGGCTGGCTCTGCTCCTCGGAAAAGGTGGAGCCTCAGGCGGAATGGGGCGGGACATCGGGCAGAAGGGGCGGGGTCAAGGTTTGCCTTCTCCCGCTGGGTTTTCACCCGCGTATTCCGCTCTCCAGCTGAGGGTGCGTGGCAGGGCATGGGCCCAGCTGGCTGCAGGATTCCGGCCCCCTTGCTCATTGCGGGCGAGGTGCCACCCTCTCGCGCCACGGCCCCAGGCCTCATTCACGTGGAAGCCCTCGCGTGGCTGGCAATGAGCTCATCCCGCCTCCCCCCATGCAGGCCAGGCAACCAGACATACAGGAACTGGACGCAAAGGGAACTAGAGGGCCTCAGTTTCCACCGCTTCCTCCCAGGTCCCTTTTCGAGGTGAG